AGAACCATGAAAGGTCTTATCTATCTCCTCATGTTTGTTGTTTCTGCCTTAAAGCTGAGGAATCTACCAACCATATCCTACTTCACTGTGAGGAAACTAGAAAATTTTGGAACTTTTTCTATCATTATTTGAATACAGCTGGGTTTTCCCAGAAAATGTGGCTGACTGCTTAGGGCAATGGTCAGGAAGAGGATTAAGCAAAAGAGGGAAAACTTTATGGCAATCTGCTGCACATGCTATTTTCTGGAGCATTTGGGAAGAGAGAAACAACCGGGTGTTTACCAACAGAAAAAAAAACTTTGAGGAGCTGATTTCTCTAATATGTTACAGATGTTTCTTGTCGACTTCCAGCTCAACTCACTTCAAAGGTGTCACCTTTGATGACTTCCAAAGAAACACCGTAAATTTTCTTCACTCTAATCAAATACAACTCATCACTCCCTGCAGTTTCAGATCTGATGTGGAAGGCAAGATGACCCTGTACTTTGATGGGAGTTCTTTTGGAAACCCAGGTGTAGCGGGTATTGGAGGTGTAATTCGAAATAGAAATGGTATTATCAGTTGGGCTTTTAGTGGGCCGATTGGGATAGCCTCCTCAACAAAGACTGAAGTCATGGCAGCTCTAACCGGCATCAGGACTGCAAAAGACATGGGCTTACTAAATATTACAATTAAAGGATATTCAGTTCAGCCAACACCATTAATTGGCTTTCTAATCCTGACAGTGGGCCTTGGGCCTTAGCTCACTACCTGGCTGAAGCGAGAGATATCCTCTCTTCTTTAAATCTGGTGCTCACAGGGATTACCTTTTTAGTGATAGTTCTCTGCCTATGTAACTTTCTGAGTGCCAAACTGTTGTGTACATCTCCTCATGTACCTCTTTTTTTCGAATAAAGTTAGTGATAGTTCTCTGCCTATCTAAACCTGTCCATTTAAGATGTAGGTTGAATATGGGTTGAGTAATAGATTGGGTCAAATAAAATAAGTTTGGATTATGGGAATCCATTTGGGTCAACAACATTAAATAAGGTATATGCATCATTCTATCCTAAATCCTTCTCTCTCCTCTCTCTTCACCTAAATTCCTCTCTCCTCCCTATTTCCCTCCTTTCACTCTCCTCTCTTTTCTCTCCCTCCTCTCTTCTCTCTCTTGTTCCCCCACTCCCCTCTGTTTCTCTCTTCTCTCTCCTCTCATTCATTTTTTTCTTCTCTCCTCTCCCATTTGTTTCTCTCTCATATCCCTCCTCTCTTGTCCCCCCCATTTTTCTCTATTTTTTCTCTCCCATTTTTTTCTTTATGTTCTTTCTCCTCTCGCTACTCTCTTTTCGGTTCTCTTGGATTAGGTTGGATTGTACCTCAGGCACATATTAGAAATACGGGTTATTAACGGATGTGGGTGGTTGGTGGATGAGTATGGATTCAAACCACATCCAACCCAACCTAACCCATCCATTTTCCGCATCCCCCTCACCCCTTGACAACTCATCCACCAATGGGTGAGTTCTAGCTTTAACTACCTAATTCTGCAAATCTACACAAAAATCTATCCAAAACTATAGCACTAGATGGCAATGACATTGAAACCATTGTTACCAATGATCTAACACCATTCTCCAAATATTTTCTTACCCCATTGCCAAGTGCTCTGAAACATCCTTAAAGATGGGCCCATCTCTACTAACACTAGACACATGTGGCATCAAAACTGTCACACTAGAAAAATCCCAGTATTGGTAAACATATCCCTTCCTCCATTTAAGACTTCTATATCCTTTCTACAACAAGCCTCATTTTCTTCTAGGCATCTTAAGACACCTCAGTTTGTTCCTCTCCCCCTAAGGAATAGAGGCCCAACAACTTTCCCATTTAGACCTCTTAAGACACCACCTGATTGAGGGAAAAGGATTTCTCAATCTAGTGCACTTCATCCACCCAGACAACCTCCTCATGAATCCCAAGATTATCAACCTTAGGTGTGTTCGCTCCTTTCCCCTCATCATTTTTACCCCCTCCCTTTCTTCATTTGTGACCCAAGCATCCTCTTGGGTGTTGGAGCAAGTCATGTACTTCCTCACAAAAAGCTAATGAAGAGGAAGAGTACCCATAGTCATTGCAAGAACTACCATCATATCCTCGCAAATATTTCCTAACAAGACAACAAACCTCACAAAAACCCTCCTTTGGCAACAGATACAAGCCCCTTTGGCTACTAATCAAGTGCACAAGGTGTGCAATCACAACAGGGGTGAGATGCATCTCCATTCTTTCCCATACCAATGGAAATCTCCAAATCTAATGGAAAATTAAAGCTCACCTTTGGAAGGGAGAGCAAGATTTTCTTCTCCTTCATTCTCTGGCTGTAAACTTTACAGTAGTCTTTTGAGAATCTCAAATAAGCCCTTGATAACCCTTAAATTTCTTTCAAACATCAAATGGGCTTTCATAGCTCATTGGCCAGTTACAGCCTTCAGATGGCCCCAAATGACTAGAGGAATCAAAGCCTCAATAGAAGAAAGGGGTCCAAGTGTCAAACCGTCCAAGCCCATTATGAGTATCTGCAACACCAAGTTCAACTCACTACTAAACCAACATCCCGGTTGGCCCCACGCTTCAGACGTTACTTTAACATCAAAGCCAAACTCTGATTCCTGAAACTTTCAGACTGCATCTTATCACAATCCTTATTAAAATAATGTTTGAAATTTGAAATTTTGAATCCAACATATCTGCTTAATCTATGGCCTAAAGCAACTCATCATTCTTACAATTCACCATGTCAATGCTTTCGAGATTTGTGACCTTGGGAGCTCCTCTTCCATCAAGTGCCACTTCATCTGTAACCAAGGAACATCCAACAAACACCACTAGCCACCTCCATTGTCTTTTGAGCTCTTGATGATGAAGCAAGGGATGCCAATGCTGAACTAGATAACTCCGATTACAGGGGACCCCATTAATTTCATCTTCATTACTTCTATCAGAAACCCTCCCAAACAACATCCCAAAGCCACCTCCATTCTTGGCCTGCCAATATACTGGTGAAGTGGCCCGTGAAATCAAAATCAGAACCAATGAATATTCACCCTCTACTGACACCCTAAGGATATAAATCTCATCACCATATACCAATTCTAGTATTTAGGTATATGGAAGAAAAACCTCCCCCAAATCATAATCCTTAAAGAAGTAAAGAACCCAACATCTTCCATTCAAGGTTCTCATCATCCACCACAGTAAACCCCTTAGGGTATTGCAAATCTCATGTTCTCAACAAAGGTTTCCTTGCCTTGCTTACCCATCAAAACATTAAAAAAAAAAGTTTCCTTGCACCAAGCATTAAGCAGCAACCTAAGCACTCTAACCCACCATCTTGTATAATTTCTAGCCACCCTAACCACACCACATGTTTTTTCCTTTTTTTTTTGATAAATGGTAGAGTTTTATTAGAAAAGAGAAGGGATTATATCGAGATTTACAATACAATCCATCCCAATAGGGACGTGAGGTGTGATCCCAACCTACAACAACCTAAATTACAACTGAGACAAAAAGAGTTCAGACTTATGCACCCCAGCTTCGCAAAGTAATCTGCCATCCCATTTGCTGAGCACCTTTCCCATTGAACACAAACTGTCATATGTCATATCTCTAACCAGCCATTTGAACTTTTTCATAGATTCCTTGTACTTCCAAATCACTGTTTCTGGCTCCATCAGCCACCCTACTATCAATTTAGAGTCACCTTCAATGAGCAGTCTGTCAAAATTTAGCTGTCTAGCAATCTGTACTCCTTGCAAGACTGCTTGGAACTCTGCAAAAACTGAGTCCCCTATTCCAACCGGGCCTGAAAAAACAGCAACAATATGTCCTTTATTATTCTTGAAAACTCCTCCAATACCAGCTGGATCTGGGTTCCCTAACTGCTGCCATCAAAGTTCAGTTTGATAAAGCCTTCTTCAGGAGGTTTCCAAGCGAGGTTTGTTCCTTGTAGTAGAACTTCTAGCTACAGATCCCCAGTTTCTCCACAAGTCATCAACAGAGAAATCTGAGAGCAGGTTTGAGGCTTTAACCCAATGTATAGCTCTATTTAATACACTCCCACACTGCCTCCTCACTCCTTTCTCTATCACTGAAGACTCTGCTATTTCTCTCTTCCCACAGTGTCCATATCAAAGCAGCCCTAAGAGATCTCCACATGACTTTACCTCTCTTCTTTGGCCAGCTGAAGGTCATGGAGTCAAAGATTTACAATCTGCAGAGGCACAATCCACCTATGACCAAAAAAGATCAAAGAATTATTCCCAGAGAACTACAACAAAAGGGCAAGAAATTAGGAGGTCGTAACAGCTTTCACCACTTGCTTTACTAGGGTACACCACCACTGAAGGTCCTACCACAGGTTTGAGGCTTTATCCGTCTACAAAACTAAAGAATGCAACCACTGAAGGTCCTACCACCATGTTTAGAGTGTCTCTAAGGCATCAGATTCAGATTAAGAAATGAAAAGGAAGGAGCTGTCAAAAAGCTTCCTAGCTCCAACTTCACAAAGATGCAGCCACCCAGCAAAGACCCATCTCTCAACCCCTACAAACTCAGAGGATCTCATTCTTGAATCTCCTTAGCAAGCAATGATGAAAGAAAAATTAACACTCAACAGTCCCCTCATCAGCCACCACTATTTTATTAGCAGATCCAACCACGTAGACAGGATCTCATGGATCAGATCCCTTATAAAAGGGATGAAGTTTGTGCTGTAACAATCCTGGGTTAATGGAGTTCCTTAGCTGCATGACTCGCCTCAAAACTGTCATAATAATAGAATTTTTGATAGAGAAAGATTAAGAGCAAAGGAGAAAGAAGATATCTCACCCTTGGGAGAGAGAGAGAGGATAAACATGGAGGAAGCAATGACATAAATGAACATGCACAAACATATGTACACAATTTAAAAGAAAAGAAGAAAGGGGAAACACTTCATTGGCTTGCCTCTACAAACTTACTTTAGTATCCCCAATTCTTCCCTGCATCCTTTTAATTTGCTGTGCCTAAAATATACAACATAGGATGACTTAGCCCAAAATACTAATAAGAAGTTCATTACAATAGACAAGAAAACCAAGGCTTAGTTTGGAAGGAATACAAATGCAAATATGTAGAGTGCAAAACCTTATATTTTGTATTATTTTGTATGTATTTGCACTGTACATATTTGCATTTGTACTCTTTCCAAACTGAGCCTAAGAAATAAAAACTACCTTACAAATTCATCAATAAGAAGTTAACCTACCCTCTGGAAAGAAATCTTGCTGCTTTAATATTAGAAGGATTCTCTAGCCATTTACTGTACTTAATAAAGCTCCGCATCCAATAAGAACATACATCTAATACTTGGGAAATAGCTTCTCCATTGGGAGGTCCTTCTCGTTTATTTTTATGGCCATGAGTTTGCTTTAATGGACCTAGATTACCTGGATAGAAAGGAAGCCAATCCAACTCTTCACAAACTACCTGCGGAATTAAGCAACAAAATTAGATATCATGAATGAATAATTAAAGATGATCACCTAGATAATAATTATCACAGAGCAGGCTTACCTCCACATACAGCTGATAGGAACTAATTGATGAGAGCTGAGGATAGTATAACACACTCCCCCCAATAAGATATCTAGTATTTAGAACCAAGCAAAAACAGAGTAAAATTATGAAATGAGAGAACAAAGCTTAGAGAGAATCATAGAAATATTCAAAGAACATAACAAGATCAAGTAGCATGAGTTCAACACAACTCTACCTTAGGAATCTCTCAATAGGACCATCTATTACATCAAATCCATTTGCAGATAAAAAGGATTGTGTACTTCTGCCCAAGGCAATGAAGAAACCAAAAATTGCCAAATCCTTTTCCAATACCTGCAGTAAATCACTATGGTACTTGACAATACACTTCAATATTATACTCAAACTGTGCATCAAAAGAGTCAAGAACAAATAACAAAGTTTTGCCTCAGATTGAACTAATAAACCACATGATACAGGGTTTGAAACCATGACTATATTTGATTATTTTGAATTTTTCCTTACAAAACACATCTTCAAAGGTTCCATACTTACATTCTGTCATGTTTGGAAGATAAAACTTGCCTAACAGGCAATGTGAGGTAGTGTTAAAAATTATCTGGTATTCAGAAAGCCATTGTTGGATAGGGAAATAAAAGAATGTAAACAACTGCTATTCCAGATATGAGATGGTGAAAAGCATACACTTATGGCTACTTCCAAGTCAATACTTTATGATGTGTTGACAAAGAAACAAGTAGAGAAATCACTAGTTACAATATTTGGGGCAACCTGGTATTTCTACAGTGTCTCTTCTTTTGAATTGTCCTATTTCTTTGATACAGGAGGCTTAGGTTACATCACCCTTGTCCACATGAGATATCCTCTATGTGGATGACATTTGAAGGTGGAAAAAAAGAAAAGTTCTTTTGGAGTTCCATTCTATTTATAGTTTGTTGGGACATGTAGAGAGAAAGGAAGGGGTGCATTTTTTATGGTAAATCCAGAATGATGAGAAGTTTTATGCTAACATTGGTTCTCTTGGATTGGAGTTATCTCATCCATAGCTGAGGACTTAAAAAGAACCTCCTTCAGCAACAATTTCTGGGCAAGCTTAGACTTATTGGACGAAAATGTATAGGATTGCAGATTTTCTTTAGTCTTGTTAAGATATATTTTGGCCTTTTGTATTGGAGTCAGCTCAGAACACCCTTCTCTCTTGTATATTCTTTTTTCTTCTATAAAACTTCACATATTACTATCATTATCAAATATCAACAAAATGGTGATAAAGCAAGTTTTAGAATTATAGTTCAAGGAGATTAAAATCAAGGATCACTTATCAACCAAAAGAACCAAGACAACCAACAAAAATTGTTACCTTCACTCAATACAATAATTGCAGTAAGAAGTTTCCATGCACAAACATGGATATGAATATAGTTTTTCCACATCCAACTCAAAGATAGAGACATGGTTATTGCAAACAATATGTTAATATTGTGCATTAATCATAGCAAGTACCAACTTAAGGTCCCAAATATACCAATTTTTTTGTGAAAATTTGTAGAGAAAACTGTTGTATATATATGGAAATTATACACTTTTATTCACCAAGAAAATCATGCTAAGAGAACAACTGATAATGGAAGAGGAAAAAACTATTATATGCACTGCAGTTTCTATACTCCGTTCATTTTTATTTTTTTTTCTTTTCCCTTCTCTTTGGATCAGTGTCATAAGCTTCTTGCTATTGACATAGCATGGGAATAGACATGGGGAGGAAGACAATTGTTTCTGATTTTCAAAACCCAACTCATAGATACACATGGTTATTGCAATGCAATGTATTGATACCATGCATTAGCTATAGAAAATACCAACATTAGTGTCCAAAATATACAAACTTTACAAAAATTATAGAAAAAAATCATTGTATATAATTTATTACACCCTTCTATATGACCAATAAAATCACTCTAAGAAGACAACCAGTACTAGAAGATGAAACAAGACAACCATATGCAATGCAGTTTCCGTATTCTCTTTCATTTTTCTTTCTTTTGTTTTCCTCTTCTGGATCAGGGCCATAGCATTTATTCTAGTCATTGTCATATAGCATAGAAGTAGAAGTAACCAAGAATTACAGTTGCCAATAGGTATGACCTGGAAAGGGGCTAATAGGAATGACCTACTTTGCAGACCTGACCGGAAAGATAGGCAACGGCAATATTGGGACTGTTTAATAGGCTTTCATCTATGTACTTTGGGACTTGCTAGCTAACTCTACCTAAAAATGTCTTCTTTTTCATTAATAAAAGGCAGACCAGTGCACTAGGCTCCTGCCAATGCAGGGTCTGGGGAGGGACAGATGTATGCAGACTTACCCCTGCACATACAGAGGCTGATTCTAAGATTTGAACCCTGGTCACCCAGGTCGCAATGGAGCAACCTAACCATTGCGCCTAGGCTCACCCTCCTGTCTTCTTTTTCATTATGCAATCAAATTTTCTCCTTTGTTATTGATCAAAAAAAAAAAAAAGTTATAGCTGCAAATTTATAAACCAAATCAGACCCCACAATCACTAGCAAGCTCTTGGATAAATAAAAGCAGAATCAATATGTATGAAGTTCACAAAAAATTTTCCAACCTCAATACTTTCACATGTAGTAAGCCTTGACCATATCCTCTCTCTGTCAATAGCTCGCTGCAGCTGTTTCTGTACAATATCCACCCAAAAAGCTACTTCTGTTCCACAATCATTTTTCACTCTATAATCTGCAGCCCTAGGGCCAAAATGAACAAGAAATTCTCTGCGTAGGCCAATATCCTTCATGGAATTATAAGTTTGGTGTACTGGAACGAAATCAACAAGCATATCCATCAATCTTCCAGTTAGATCTGGGATTGTAGAGAAGAACTGTGAGCAAGATACTTTTGCTGGTCCAAGCTTAGTAATTGCAGCAACACAAGTCAGTGCAAGCATGAGAAGTGATACATCACTTTTATTGCCAGGACTCTCAGATACACCTTCCCCGCACCTGGTGGTAAAAGGAAAATTGCATATTTCATTTCACACAGCAATTTCACAGTGATCACATAAATGCAAACCTCCTAGCAATAAATAAAGGAATTACTACATACACTGCAGTAGCTGCAGTAAAGCGTGGATCCTTTTCAAAGTGGTCAACAAAAGTTGCCACAACCACTGGAAGTTGTTTGGACCAAAACCATTCATAAGCTTCAGGCTGCTTCACCGACAACTTGTCCTTGATTAGGTCATCCAAAGGAGCAGATTGCCGTAATAAACTGTATCAGTTCCACCAGTATATTGCATTAAAAGATCTAGATCCATTTCAGAGTAAGATAAATGATAAGGTGAATAGGATGAGATCCTGGTATTAAAAGGTTAAGATCTTAGAAAACACCAAGAAAGAGAAGAACAAAGACATAGTGTTGGCATCACCTAACATCATTTGCACCCCACAAGTGCCTTCAATCTTCACCATATAATAGACAAATTAGCATTTAATCCTAGATAATATTTTAGTACAATTAAACCAGATAAGGACATTGACACTCCTCATTGAGAAACTCTCAAATTCAAATTTCTTTGGTAGATCTTCACCATGTTTGTCACAAATCACATCCAATTTGTGAGTTCTTGGGCTCATTAGAAAATCCAAAGAATAGGCGCTGATTTTCTTCTAGTTGTAAACATCATTTAAAATGCCCACATATTTCCTAATGTTTCCACAACATATTTCCATTTCCATGTGTACCATCAAAAATATTGCTGCAAATGACAAATTCCCCAATGAAAACTACTGATGCTATGTGGAATACACAAGATGGTACTACGATATAAGTTGGCAACAATATTGTAGATGTGTCTTTTGAAAATACTGTAGATATGTTGAGTAGTATTATTATTGTCCACATAATGGACATGATTACCATTTTCAGTCAACTCGAATTTTTTTTTCAGGCATGAAGTTCAATCTTAGTTTTTGTTTGTGTAGTAGATTATTTGGTTGATCTAGTAGAACCACTTGCAATTTCTATGAGTTTATATTTTGCTTGAATTTATTCTATTATAAAAGTTTTGACTCTTAAAGTTTACATGACAACTTAATTTCAAATAAAAGTTTCCTTTGATGATCAAAAAAAAAAAAAGTTTACATGACAACTTCTCATGTATTAGTTTCTCTAATAACCTTGGTTTCTTAGCTTTATATAATGATTTGGAACAAGATAATAATTTAAAAAAGTGTACCTATGCTTCTTTTTATCATTTACTATAATTCTATATTTTCACATATTTCACAATAATTCCACCATGTACATAATTTTTACAATATTTCCATACAGCATTTCCAACATGTTTCTTTTATTTGGATGACTGATGTTTCCATTGCCACCATCATTTTATACCTAGGTTGCAAAGAACAACTAGAAATAACAAAGAAAAAAGAAGAAATCATGTGTTTCTCCAACAATGATTTCAAGAGGAGAAAAAGAAAAGAATCGTAAGAGAAAAAATAAATTAACTCATTCAATTCTGCTGTTATTAACAGATTTACATGTATATATGGACTTGTCAAAGCTAGGCACTAAATAATATGAAGGGCAAGATATTAAGACCTAATGATATTCCAATATAAGTGTGGAAAGGTATGAGAGAGATAGGCTTATTAAGTCTAACTAAACAGTTTAACATAGTTACTGTTTAATAGGATAATGAAAGCAGGAGAGGAATGGCAGGATAATGAAAGCAGGAGAGGGGGAGGGGTATTTTTATCATTTTTGGGTTTTACTTTTTTGGGAGTCCCAAAGACGTGTATAATGTACAGAATCTCTTTGTACAGAGGACCATGTATACTTTTTGCTAATTAATACATCACAGTGATACTTTACCTTTCTCGAAAAAAAAAAAGATAATGAAAGAAAAGAAGCCCTAGGAGAAACCACATAAATAGTAATTTTGCCACTTTTCACCAAAACCACATCTCCTTAGAACCTCCTCCAAGAAAGGCCAATCTACATAATCATAAGCTTTCTCCAAATCAAGGTTACAAATCCAGCCCTTGGTCTTCAAACGTCTCATTTCCTCGACACACTCATTAGCAATCAAAATTTGGTCAGTAATCTGCCTCCCTTTTATGAATGCTTCTTGATTTTGGGTAATCAAGTGAGGCATCGCTTTGTTCAATCTCATGGAAAGGACTTTTGCAATTACTTTATAGAGGACGCCTATCAAACTGATTGACCAAAAGTCTTTAGCATGCACAGCCTCCAAAGATTCTGGCATTAATGCTAGAAAAGTTGCATTGGCATCCCTATGAATTACTCCCCTCTCAATAAATTCTTCAAAAGCCCCCATTAGATCTTTATTATTTTACAGCAATCCTAAAAGAAGCCTGAGGAGAAACCATCAAGGCCAGGGACTTTCAAACTATCCATTTCAAAGACTATTCTCCTCACTTCCTCCTCTTCAAACCTTCTCTCTAAAGCTTCAGCTAGTTCTCCACTTAAGCTCAGTCACTCCAACCCATTCAGCTCAATCTCTATGAAGGGGTGACTCCATAGATACCCTTAAAATGATTCACTAATATTGACGCTATCTCTTCTTGATTCATGATCTCCCTTCCCCCAAGAGCCAGCTTTTCTATGTAATTCTTCCTATTTCTACTATCACCAATTTATGAAAGTATCTTGTATTACCATCCCCCTCTTTAATCCACTTACATCTTGCTTTTTGTCTCCAGAATATCTCCTCCCTCCTTAACGATTCATCCCATTGACACTTCAAATTCACTCTAATCTCCTTCTCCGCCTCTGTTAACCCCCCTTCTTCCTCTCTCAAGTCCAACTCTTCTATTTGGACAGAAGATTTTTCTTCTTTTCCAAAATGATCCCAAATTCTACTTTATTCCAAATTTTGAGCTTAATTTTGATTGATTGGAGTTTCTTGCTAAATTTGATCCCCCCAATCTAAGCAGTAAAGGAATCTGTCCAACTTTGCACAAATGGGATTAGTCTGAAAGTTACTCCAAGTGAACCTCGAAAACCTACAGGAGGATTCAATTAAACCTTGGGAGTTTATGAAACCAATTTTCTTTCTTGATTTTTAAAAAGGTAAGGAATATACTGCATAGCTAAAACTAAGGTCTAGTTGGCTGGTATAGTGACAGAAATGGATTTCCTCAGTTGGTTTGCTCTACAAGCTCATTTAGTTGTCTAGAAAGTTGTGGATTTGGGGTTGAACCAGCTGGTGAATTTAGTTGCTTAGCGTGCAACTAAATTTCTCCTTCAGTTCTTGTCCATGTCACAAAAGCTCTTATTTATGTCTCTCCTCTTGTCACACCACATATCATGTCTAAGGTTCATTTTTCTTAGAGCTACAGAAATTCCTTGACATTTTTTTTTTTCTGAAGGTAAATAAAGAAGAAAACTTCTTTAAGACAGAAAAGAGATTACATAAGAATCTGTATGATAAGGCAACACCCAAGACAGCAACAAAAACAGAACACAAAAACTACTACAATCATTTCTGTTCTCAGTACATCTGAAGTAGATTAAAAGTGCTCCAAAACTATGAACCAAAGTCTTCTCTTTTAGACTCTTCAAAATCTGGAAGAAGCAACAGTTTCAATAGCAATCTCGTTGGTTTCCTTGCTGGGAGGAAGACCAGAGGCCTTTTTAGGAGGCATTTTTAGCTCTAATAGCCACTAACATAGGGGCTAGTAGATAAAAGGCAAGGTTGATGGGTACCCTTGCTTCAAAATCCAACAAAGTATGCTCTGAATCTAGGAGAGAATCCTGAGAATAGTTGCTGGTTTTCTTCTAGTAGCAGAGGACTATTAAAAAATAACAGAGAAAAAAAAAAAGAAATCATGTGTTTCTCCAATACCGAACAAGGCACAAAGAATCTTGATGCTGTAAACACTTGAACAAGGCAGTAACATGCATCATCAAGTGTCTTCAACTAAAGTAAATCAGTTAAAGACCAAAGAATCATTCCCCTTGTCATGTAATTGTCAGACTGATGCTCTAATGTTTAACTGGACATTTGAGTTCTTTCCAGCAACACGCAAAACAAGACTGTTCTTGTAAACAATCTAGAGACCCTGCAAACTTCAAGAACCCAAATCATCCACTCTAGAATGATTCAAGCAAACTAGATACCTATGCACCACAGCAGATTACACCCAGTACACTGAACAAAAAGCTTTTTCCTTGTTCTTGATTGTTTGGGTAAAGTTTCCAGACTCCACTCTTGAGACCAACCAACCTTCAATTATTTCTCCAAAAAATCATCTAATACTAGGCAACACAAGAATGAGTATTATCTTCACTGATTATCAGCAGAGAGACTAGGGACTCACTCCCCAAAACACTAATAGCCCCAATATGAATTGATGCTAAAATACAGAGGGAGAAGAGGTGGGCACTTGCTCCCTACTTACAAAAGTCTCCGTCACTTCCTACCTCTGTAAAAATATGCAAGTGACTAAACAAAGCCAAATCACCATCAAGAAAACAATCCCCAGTGACTACAACCAAAACAAAAGCAGATCTCTGGTTTTCCTTTGATTTTTTGGCAAAACCCCTACAGCATCATCCTGAGTATCAAAATATTCTAAACGATTCTCTAAAAATCATGCAATTTAAGGGATGATACATTATTACAGTTTTAGGAAAAATGAAATCACTATTTATAATAATTTACAATTTATTATTCATAGTAATTTACAAGTTACTATTTATAGTAATTTACAAACTCACTATTTATAGTAACTCCACAAATTATTATTTACAGTAAACTCATGACTATTTATAGTAAAAACTACAACTGATAACAGAAACCCCAAAACGAGAATGATTTAAAATACAAAAGTCAAACTAATAGATCTAGGCATCTAGCAAGTCTAGAAGAGAGATCAAAGAACCAATGAAACAAAACAAAAGTTGAATAAAAACTGACCGAGAACAATATCTGTTATGAGGATTATTTAATTGTTATTTTATAGTTGCTGTTAGTGGGTTGTCAGCTTTAGATGCTGTCAGTTAGTTATTTTCTTTCTTTCTTATTCGTTTGTTACTAGGGAGTGCCGCCAGGGCCATACTTGTAATCTCCATTCTTTTTATATTAAGTTAATATAAATAATGAACTGGCGGCAGCCAGAAGTGGTTTTCTTTTTCTCTCAATCATATCTTCCTCTTCTTCTCTTTCTCTCTCTCGTCTCTCTCTCTCTCCATGAATGATTACATGGTATCAGAGCAAGGTTCTGGGCTATAAAAGAATT